CTCCCCCCTGCCGGCCCCGCGGCCGCCGCCGCCGCCGCTACCGGAGGCGCAGGAGCCTCGCGATAGTGTTTGCATTGGCGGCGCGTGACGCCGCCGCCGCCGCCGCCGCCCGTAACTGATGCAGAGGTTACCCCGCCGCCTCAGCCGCCACCCACCGCCCGCCACCGCCCGGGCGACGCCGGGGCCCGACGCACTGCAGAGGTGCCGGCAGGTTCCGCCCGCGGAAGTGGCCTCCGTCGGCGCGGTCCGCGCTCCGCCCGCGCTCCGGCCCCGGCCCCTCGGCCCCGGCCACTTGCCTCCCCTCAGCGCTGCCCTCCCCGCCCGCCCTCCGTCCGGCGCGCTCCCTCGGCGGCGCGGCGCTCCCCTCCCAGCCCTCGCGCCCGCGCTCGCCCTCAGCGCGGCCCCCGCCATGACGGAGGCGGGTGCCGGTGCCGCCGCCGTCGCAGGGGGGGAGTCGGGCTCCCAGAAAGTAGCTTGATGAGTGTCCAAAGTAGCAGTGGAAGTTTGGAGGGGCCGCCATCTTGGTCCCGGCTCTCCACGTCTCCAACCCCGGGCTCGGCGGCGGCGGCCAGGTCCCTGCTGAATCACACGCCGCCATCCGGGAGGCCCAGGGAAGGTAAGCGCCGCCGCGCCCTCCCGCGGGCTCCCTCGGCCCGCGCGGACCCCGGGCTGGGGTGGGGGTGGCGGTTCGCGGGCGGGAGGCCTGCCCTTGCTCCCTGAGCCTCCCGGCCTCGGGGCTCGGGTGGGTTTGCCCTCGCGGTGCAGCCTTGGCGCGCGAGCCCCCTCTCCTAGCCCGCACTCCTCCCATAGAGGCGGTCCCCGCGCCGCAAGCCCGGCCGCCGGGACCGGTAGGATGCCCCTCGCCCGCCTCCGGCATGCTCTAGGCTGCCTCGGATCCGACTCGGATCCCCAGCGCGGCCCCTAGAGCGGTCCCAACGGCAGACCGACTCGTGGGCAAGGCTGCTCGTGCCACCCCTCCAGATGGTTGCAACTTTCCTTCCTTCGCCATCGACTCCTGCGTGTTTGTACGTTATGCTCGTGGGTGCAAGTAGCCTCGTGTTCCTCTCTGCCAGGGGTGGTGGGGTTTTGTGGAAATTCCTGCTTAAAGGTCCCTGCAAAACACGCACCGAGATCGGTTACAATTGTTTTCTAAGTTTTCTGGCTCCTTGCATGCAAGTGTTCTGCCACCAGATGTAGCAGTCACACAGCTAGTAAGGCACCTAGTGCTTTTGACTAAAAAAATGAACTTGCTGCATTTAACTTTAAGTATACTCCATAAAATGGAATTTGGGAGAACACTCGTTTACCAGGGAAGAATAAATTTGCATCGGATCTTTTTTAACGCGCTTTTGTCTGGAAAATGCGTAGCCTTATTCGTTAGCAGTCGGTAAATGGGTTGTTCGCTCCCGGTTGTCTTGCACAAGGAGATTGTCAGCACCTTTAAAAAAAGAAGAAGAAAACGTTTGGAAGTCCAGCAGTCTAGTAAATCTCGTAAAGAAATTCTGACCTTCGCTTTATAAGTCGTTAGGATTACTGTATTCTGAAAATATGTCTATGTTTATTATCCATAGTCTTGGTAATTGTTAATCAAATGTTTCTTGCCGGGATCCAGTGGTTGAGGCATAGCATTCTTTGTCATTTTGTTCCCGTGAGCATGTGTGAAAGTGACAATAGGCTCAAAGATTGACGTGAATATGCTCTAGAAAATTCATAGGAAGATTTGATTTATGGCATCCATTAAACATGCCGAATACGTTGACAGACATTTTTCCCCTTTCATCTCACCCTGACACTGATTTTTTATTAATATAAGATAAGAGCTTATTTATTGAATGACTTAATCTGAGTTTTTCCTTCTGTACTTGAAAATTTATGTTTATGTACATGTATAAACTTGAAAATTTGTAAGGAAATGGTTTAAAGTGTGTGTCGTAAATAGGGCAGTTAGTGCTTGTAGCATGTTTCCACTTTGTAGTTTCATTAAGATGCCTAATGATAGTGTGAGTTTCGAAAGACTATCTTGGTTTCTAGGGTACTATACCTTTGAAAAATAATTCCTCATTGATTTCTCAAGTGTTTATTGAGCCATTACTATGAGCCAGGACCCGTATGTGATAATCTGCTGAGTGCATGGTGTTGGCTTAACAGTTGACTTCTGTTATCAGTCCTGGGAGTTTGGCAGCCGAGAAATTCAGATGGCCTTTCTAAGGAAGGTCAGCCCTAGCTAAACTTACCATCTTAGGTGTGCCGTTCTGCACCCTTCCTGAAGATGAAACATTCTGAGTGGTTGGAATAATTTAATTCAAACTTCCGAATAACCAGAAATCCTGCTCCCCCCTCCACCAGAAGTTTTTGTTTTTTTAAAACAGGTTTTTTTTTTTTTTTTTTTTTTGCTGTTAACCTAAAATAGTCTTAGTTAATACTTGAAATTATGAAAGTTACACTTGACACCAAATTTTCCTTCCTTTTCTCCTTTCCCGTAGAACCTCAAATAAAGTGGGCCAGTGCTGTACTACAGGGCTTCACCCCAGTCCTCATAATTATGAGGTCATTTCTTTTTTACTAACCATGTAAATTAAAACTGTTAACCACCCCTCACCCCCATTCATTTTGAGGCTTGGCACCATGTTCTTAAATTTTACCATTGTCTACAGGAATTAATTATCTATTGGAAGTCCCCCAAGGATCAAGATGGAGATGTGGAGTGGAGTCCCAGTTTTTGTTACAGGTGTTTAGTACCTTTTGCAGGTATAAATGTTAATATGCTGCATAAACTAAGTTTAAGAACTTTTTGACTTCAAAGGAGGACTAGTAAGACATGTGAGAAATGCTGATGGAACGTGATTGGAAGCATTGAGTGACTGTATCAAGAAGAGGCTAAGCTTTGTTTCTTGAAAACCTGAACCAAATTAACTTGCAATCACAGAAAAATGTTAAGTTCAAAGGATGTTTAGGTTCATGTATGTTTGTGAACTCTTTTGTTAGTTGTTTTTAAATTTTTTATTTCATGTCTGAGTGTTTTGTCTGCATTTATGTGTATACCGTATGCATGCCTAGTGCCAAAGTGCTCAGAAGAGGGTTCTTCCTGCAAGAGGCTATGCTGAGCCATAGTGTGAGCCCCTAGTAAACTTCTTTTAAGTAATTAAACTTTGAAAGAGGTTAAAGATATACCACATGTATCTGTAAAAGCTATCCTGAAGATTAAAGGTCTGCACAAAGCTTCAGGATTTTTAACATACGTGTGGATGGGCTGGTTTTTTTTGCTCTGAGTCCAGAATTTTTTTTGTTTTTTGTTTTGTTTTATTAATTTGGAAGATTTCTCATAAGTGCTCAGCTGGGTTTCTGTTGGATCTTTTAAACCTGTAATCTCCAACCCATTTTGTTGTCTATAATACTCTCATTAAGGGGTGGAGAGTTACGAAATTTAAGATTTCAATTGGGCATGGTGGCATACATCTTTAATCCCAGCACTCTGGTGGTAGAGGCAGATCTCTTTGTTAGTCTACACAGTGAGTTCCAGGACAGCCAGGGGTACATAGAGAGACCCGCCTCAAAGGTTGACAACAAAAGAAAAAAAGCGCAGGGGTTGGGGGGGACGGACAGACACAGGACACATTTCAAGGGAAGATCTGTTGGAATCTAGTAACTAGTATCTTGTGGCTAAATAAACTGATTTTAGTTTTATTCTTTGTCTTTTTCATGTTAACATATGGTTACTTTTGAATTCATTATTGCTAAAAATCAAATGATTGATTATTCAAAAGTATCCTTTTCTCCTCAGTCTTGCTAGTTATGAGTAACTTCTTTTCTGTGAATAATGAAAGTACTTGTGATGGACAACATCACAGAGCAGCTAAGTTGCTGGTTTCAGACAAGTTTCTGTGTTTGAAGACTGTGGTCCTTAGAAGAATAAGTGTTATTCTTCTAGAAAGATGTTAAAAATAAGATGTGGGCTTGCAATTCCTTGAAATCACTAGCTGTATCTTTTAGGGTTGTAGCTTTAGAATCAGTATGTATTAGTAGAGCAAGAGAAAAGAAAGGCTAGCATAGAGGTCTGAAAATCTGAGAGATGCTATGCTTTTATATGCTCTTAGCACCCTTTATTGTACTTAACATTACTAAGGATCTCAAAAAGATCATTTTTATGTGAGTTATTAATGCTTGCTATATTAAAAAACTGAGAATTTCAAAAGTCTTAATTAATTTTAAATATAATCCAGTTACATGTTAAGTGAAATTTTGTAAAAAAAAATTACATTCTAAAATGAAAAAAAATAGTGTAGTTAGTGGTATTTTATATTTTTACATATGACCTTTTTGGCTTACTAGAAGACGCTGGATGTTGCTCCTGCTTTGTATCTGTTGTGATATATTTTGATTGAGGTGTATGAAGTATTTAGCCTTTTCAGAATGACTGTTCCCTGAGATGACACCAAAAACTATAAGTGGCAGAATTTTTTAAAAGGTTACTGGCAATGTGGAAGTATTTTGTACACCCAAAGTACTCCCCAGAAAGTCAGTGAGCCATATATTCAGCCTAGGGAAGACTAAAGAATGAGAAACACATGGGAGACATAAATTTCAAAAACATTAAGGAAAGTAGATTCTCTTAGTCTAGAAAGAACAGAGCTAATTCAACAAGGTGAAAAAAGTCAGTGTAAATTTTGAACAAGAACATAAGAACCATGTAACTGCTAAGCTGCCAAGTTTGGCCAACAGTGGGAAGAAATATTTAACTCTGAAGAATGTAGACTACAGAGACATTTTTGTGGGGGGATGAAGACTCTTAGATTGAGTGCTCTTGGATCTAACAAGTTATGGTTCCATCTATTTAAAAATACTAACTTTCTGGCATCTTTTCTTTAAGAATCCCTAATTATAGTTAAACTGTACTCATATACTCTGAATGTTTCAGATGGTCTCAAGTCAGTAATACAACACTACTGTTGGTTTTATTATTCTTCTGCATTTTGTTGTGATTTTCCTCTGAGGATTTTCTGGAGTCAACAGGATCAGTCTTGATGAAATGTTGCTGAGTTCCCTGTAAAATATAATAAGCTTTGAAGACATTTAGAGAAGTGCGTACTGCTAATGGGACAGTTTAGTAGAATAGAATACACTGAGCACCGGATTTTAGAATACTTTGGGGGGCCAGTTTTCAATTTTGAAAGAAAAATTATCAATATAGCCTAGTCTTTGTTTGTAATAGCTTATATGATTTTAGAAGTAATATGCTTAAGCTGTTTAATGTTTTTGAAGATATAGTCAGAAATGAGGAAACATGGAGGAAAATGTTTAAATTGATCTGTCTTGAATTAAACAATGTCCATTAAATAATAACCTGGATATAAAATAAAATCAAGAATTAAAATTTTGTATTCTGAGGGTTGTACTTGTAATATTACTTGCAACAATTCATTTTTAAGTTTTATATGGAACACAATCTCTTCTGTATGTTGGGTTTTTAGGTGTTTGAAATTAGGTATAAATTCTTTTTAACATTTTTAAAAGATTTATTTATATGTGTAGTTGTCTATGTGAATGTTTGCTCATTGAATAGGTGGTGGGCACATGTACACATGTGTACAGAAGCCAGTTTGTCAGAGTTAGAGTTAC